AATTTTGGCATCTAATTTTTCATTTCCACCAGCTCCCTCCCCCCTCCCCTGTAATTAACAACCGGTCCTTTAACGTGCTGCTATTAGTACATGTACACTATCAATTATCAGTTACAATTTTTATATTAGTTATGCGTTTTCTATATCCAAGGGCCCACAGTAATTGGTTTTAAGCTGTTGTTGTGTCCCCGCCTTTTTGTTGTTGTTACCTTTTTGTGAAACGTGGCCAACGTGGGAGGCTTGGAGACTGCCACTTGCTGCGTTCCGTTATGTTTTGCCTAGGTCTATGCCAAGTTTTTAAGAAATGTTCCAATGTGTGCTCATAAAATTCAAGCTATTTTAAAATGATTAATGAAGATATATGATTGTAAAAATTTAAACCGTCCTAGGTGCATGTTGGTACAATATATTGTTTGGTGTCATTATGTTACCACAATATGTCAACATGAGCTCCACCTTTGAATTTACTATATGAGTAAATTCTTAAACACGTTCGAATTTATCATTATGATAAAGTTTTTCAAGTTTTTTAAAAAAATAGTTCTAGTAGGGTTAAATAGGGTTAGTATTATAATAAATTCAAAATTTGCCGCGACTTTATCATAATGATAAATTCGGACGTGTTTAAGAATTTACTCATATAGTAAATTCAAAGGTTGAGCTCATGCTGCAATATGTATATACCACTATTGCCCACTATATACTAGTCACTATATTATATTAAATATATATGAAACGAAGGCTTGAGTCTTTACGTATTCTCTTTAACAAGCGGACATTTTAAGTACTTCTTTTCAAGTTTTTTTTTTATCAGTATATGCTGTGGCAGTTGAGAAAATCACTAAAAGACAAATTTCCCTATTTTCCCTTCAGATCACAGCTTCGGAACAAGCCGGTTTATTACGTATGCGTTCGTATTCGTTCGTATTGACTTCGTGAATTTTTAGGCTGGTTGCTGACGCCATCTCGAGCAAAATAAACATAAATGTTTTATTTTTGTTGTTTTTTCAAGTTTTTTGGACCAGAAATTGAAGAAAAAAAAGTTATTTTGGCGCAACTTAAATTATCTGATTTCAAGATGAGCGTGAGCTGCAATATTGCTGGAGAAGAATTAATGGAGAAGACGTTGTCTTTGGTCCGTTTTAATGAACCGCCATTTCAGGCACTTCATTGTTTGGATGAAAACAGCCCAGTTGTTCTTGATCACAAGAGAAATTGCCAACGTCCTGTTGCATCGGATGCAGGCGATCATTTTCGCAGACGAAGAGAAAGAAATGTCGTCAGCAGTCGTTTGTATAGGAAAAGAAAACGACAACGTATGGAAAGTCTTGAAATTGAAAATCAGCGACTGCAAGAACACATCACTCATGCTGAAAATGAACTGACTGAATTGAGACGAACCTTTCAACTTTTTGTGCAGCATGCAGAAACTTGTCCTCATTGTGCAAACGCAGCGATGTTTTTTACGTAGAAAGTATTTTTCGCATAAAGAAACTTTTAATTGATCATCGGTTTATAATGCACCATATTAAAAACGTGATTTGTGCATAAAAATAACTTTGTTATGTGGACCAGTGTTTTTATTGTTATAATGTTTTTATCTACTTTTATGTAGGTAGGATAAGGATTTAAAAATTAATCATGTAAATTTTACACATTTATTTAAAAGTTAGATTTCTTGTTTGTGGAAATTTTACTTGTTGCTTATTGTTGGTATTTCGGGTACTTTATACTTTACCGGAGTTTACCGTACCGCAAGTATTTGATGGCGTGTTTTCTGACGGTTTTCCGTTCTTTTATTGGCGTGTTTTGATAGCGTATGTATTCATTGATTACTCTGGTACCAGAGTAAAATTTCCAAAATTTCCTGCTTGGCTGCTTCACAATAAAAAATTGGCTCATTTAATATAACAATTTAATTTCAAAGCATGTGCATTTGGATTTAAAAAAATATATCATTATTATATTAAAAAGCTTTATTTTTATATTTTTTTAAAAATATACTACCGGCCGGGTCTAATTCCCTAGTGACCATTTCTCATGGCGATAATTACTGCCGGTGGGGTTTAAATTCCGGTATTCTTCGACCAATCAGATTGAAGTTATGGCGTCCATAGAAGCATCAGGCAACACTGATAAACACTGTTTATGGCTTGATTTATACTGAGATAAAGATTAAAATTATCAACGAAGTTCTTTAACTTTTAAAGTAATGGAGAGAAAAGGTTTCTCGTGTGAAGTTAAGCTGGATATGCACTTGGTCAGTGCTGATTTTAGTGTTTCTTTTTTTACTATACGATCTAAGTTAATATAAATAAAGTAGAATTAATAGTAGATGAACAGCTCGTGCAGTTTGTTTGTATAATTGTATATAGATATATATTTTCTACTGTTGTCCTAGGTTTCATGTCCTGGCACAAGACATCTCTCCAATAGAAGCATGCTGTTTCTTAGGATTGCACTTCTTGGTTCTTCCAAGAGAACAAAGTCTGTGTATGCCTCCTTTCCTTTGATATTCAATGAGAGGCTATATTTTGAAAGGGTTAGTATATTATTAATGACGTAATTTATAATTGGAACTTGCATACTGCGTGGACTTGGATATAAACCACTGTTACACAGTTTAATACTTTATGCATGAAAGTACACAAGTGCACACTCGAGAATTTTTTTGTCTAATAACTTTGCACATTTAAGTAACCATATTTGTACAATGTATTTAACCAATAACGCCAACTTAAGTGCACACTTGGATAAATTTGCACCTGAGTTCTTGATAAATACCACCATACTCTGCAGTTTGACATCTAAACTAATGCATTGCGCGGCGGAGATATCAGCTGTGCAATGTTGATGCTTTCTATTATTATATTTACTATTAATGTATGAGTCAATTCCAACTGCGATCATCCCCCGGGCGAACCCCCGGGAATTTGACTCAAATTTCCGACGGTGCGGGTGAAACCCATTGTCAAATTCCCAATGGTGCGGGCAAAAAACATAGTCAAATGCCCATATCTGCCTCGTCGTTTCCTGATATAATTTTACATGAAGAGAACTAGCTAGACTTTAACTGTTTATTAATTTCATGATCGGCTCAAAACTTTTAGTTTTGCAATTTGTATAGTTTTGTAATGCCGTTTCTAATAATGCTTGCTATTGCAAGTTCAATTTTCTTTTTATCTATAAAATATCATAAAGACACATACCTTTTGAGACACATTCTGCAAAAGAACAAGCAATTACAGCCTTTTTGATGTTCCAGGGCCGAGTTAAAAAAACTATTCACGTCGTGCAGTGTGTTTTTATACACGTGAAAACAAATCACGTTCATCTAACACCAAGCACTGTGCATGACCGCTGGCCAATTTTGCGCCAGTGATCAGTCAGATGAAAGGGGTCAAATGCCCGACAGTGCGGGAATGTCTTTGCGTCAAATTCCCGCCTATGCAGGATTAACCTCTGGTCAAATCACAGGGGTTCGCCCGGTGGGGGAGGGGAGGGTGATTGCAGTTTGAATTGACTCGTACATAAATGTTCGAAATTGTACAATGTAGAAATGGCAATGAATAATAGAGAGATCAGAAAATCTAAACACTAGGGTTTTAGCTAGAGGGCCGTGTTGGCCGTGTTATTGCGGCCATAAATGGAAAAACACGGCTAGATAAAATAAACACGGCTTCATTATTTATATAAGGCCATGTTGGTTCATAAAATAAGGTGGTGCTATTTACAACAGTCCAGAATTTCTTCCTATTTATGCCGTAAGAAAGTTTGTAAAATCTACTGTTGTTGTTGAATTGGCAAAAGTGATCTGTGATGTTTTAATGTTTTGATGGATAATGGGAACTGTATGTATGCTGTTAAAATGGTTTTAAATACCCCCAAGAGTTGCTGAAATAACTTAATATTCTAATGTCACTGTGCAATATGAGCATATGCTTGCCTTGAATTTGGTTGCAAAGCATAGAACAACCACAGGCATTGTCTGTTGTTGGCGAGTATAACTACAACTGTGAATTTGGCTTTTGAAAGTAATTGACATGTGCACACCCTGGTCATTAGAAACACGCCCAAGATCTAAAATCCTAGCTAAGACCCTGAATCTAAACCTCTCAAATGTCTTGCAATGATGGTGGTGTCAGCACTGCATCAAGTCATTGCATTCAACAACATGTAACCAGCGATGTTTTGCTAATTTTAGAAGAGGGGGGACGCTCTTGAAAATCAAATGGGCGTGGTCATTCGATTGGGCGTGGCTATTGGCCATGAAATTAAACAAGCGGGGATTTAGTGACTTTAGTCTAATAGACAAGCTTGTCAAAATATGTCACATTGCTGTGGATGACGGTTAACGAATGGCTACGAAGCCAGTTTCAACTTCTGAAATTGAGTCTTCCACAGATTTTTCAGTAAAGAATTCAACGATTTTAGATCTTTTAGAAATCATATCTCTTACTAACTACAATGGTCAACAACCTATTTTACAATTTCTGGCTTAGGCTTGATTTTTATAAATTAGTATAGTCTTTCACGCAATCGCGAAATTAAACATTAAAATCATCAATGGGAACATAAAATGATTCAATAAGAACATTAACATGAATGGGAAAGATTCAAGGATATCTATTATCCAAGCTTATTTAGTTACTCGTGAAAACGTCATATTTAACTTGCAAAGTTGCCTATTTGCCGAGTTGGTTGACTCACATAGCACTAATGCATGTTCTGCTAACTCCATGCATAAGGTAATTCAAATTATATCCCGCTGGGCTGCTGCCTGACGTTATCTCCGTGCTGATGACAATTGATTGTGAACTATCTAAGTGGACGTCAATCATAAGACTCTAGACTATTATTTTGTACTAGTCTGCTAGAAATTTCGGCAAATAACACGTATTTGGACGGTGTCGAACGGCGTTCACTGAACTTCGCTAATATTTAATCCCTGCCAGGGGGAATGGCGTTCCCCCATGTTTGATTTTGGCAAGGGGGACGCCGTTCCCCTGGTAAAAAAAGGTGGGGGGACGGCGTTCCCCCGCATTCCCCCTGGAAAACATCACTGCATGTAACTAATATATTGCAATAATTACTCGATGAATGGCTTCTTATTGGCTTAAATAACAGAATGTGTCAGGTCAATGGCTTGCAATCTTATTACAGTAACTGTTATCAATTTAACCATAATCATGCATTGCAAGTTGCAGCAAGTCTTGTTCAGTCTAAGGCCTGTTTGAAACATTGCATTTTGCACTGCATGGAAAAATTGACATCTGAAACAATTAAGGGACTGGTCATTAAAGGGGAGGGGGACTGTTGGAAAAAGAGGGGGTCAGATATTTTCGTGCATGAAAAAAGGGGGGG